GGTTGCGGCTTCTGCATCGGTGGAACAACCACTGGTTTGACTGGCTTTCGATCGGCTGAGGCCGGTTGCCTGGTCCTGGTCGGAGTAGTCGTAGGTGTCTTCGCCTGTTCCCGCTTCGGAGGTACGGGCATCGTCGGCATTGAAGGAGAGTTGGCCCAGGGATCTGGCGGGAAACCTGGGGGTGGCCCGTAGCTCGCTCGTTGTGCACTGTTGGGCGAGGATGCACGATTCACAGCTTGAAGAAACTTCTCCTTTTCCAAGCCACAAGCTGCCATAGCCCTCTGTAGCACAGCGTTCGCATCCTCTGAGTGTTCTCTTTCTTGGTGCCATTGCCCTGTCATCTCTTGCCAGGCTTCCTCCTGGGCTGTACGGACGGCACGGCGGGGGTCCTGCTCGAGGTTGAAGGTACTTCGTAAAACCCGCCTGGCTTCCTCCTGCATTGCCAGGGCAGATTCCAGATCTGACTCCACTTTGGAGACGTCTTTCTGATGCCTCTGGAGCTCCTGCAGGTACGAGGCCTTCATAGAGTCCACATACTGCCGCCACATCTCGGCCTTCTTGTTGCGGGTCGCAATCAATGCTCTGACCTTCTGCTCCGCCCGCCTGGCCTTGTTGATGTTGTCCTGCAAGGTGTTCACCAAGTAAGACTCCGGGTCGTCGTTCATATCGGGCTCGTCCTTTCCCCTGGACTTGGACCCTTTGCCCCCACCTTTCATCTGATCGTAGGCTGGGAAGCTAGACACTCGCTGTGTCGGCTCCCATCCCCAGTGGGATGGCGGTTGCGGCCATGAGCCTGACCAGTACTGCCATGAGTAATCTCCATACCCACTGTCTTCTGACCGTTTCCATGGCTTTCCTGTTTTGCCCATGTAGTACAGTCTTGCTCTGAAGGCGGGGTCGATCGAATGATGGGCAGCCAAGAGCCGCAGGCTATGTTTAGGTACCTGTTGCCCAATTCGCAACTTGTACCGGAGTTTAGACCTCTTCCCTCGAAGACGTCTATGCCAGGGCGGCGAGATGGATGCTTCGTCTCTGCACTCTAAGCGCACTCTAGCGCACTTTGTGCGTGGGGCACCAGCTATCGTCCGCTGTTGGACGTGTTCTGAGCCCTAAGGATTTGTATCAGGAACTATTCAGACCTCTGTCTTAGCTCAAGCGCCGATTGCTTGGATCCTGACCGTCGCCTCCCAATCCGAAACCCGAAGGCTTAAACCCTAAGTCCCAAACCCTAAACCCCAAACCCCCCGCGTTCTAAGCCACACAAAGACGCCCTATAACTATAAACCCTAAGACTCCAGTCCACACCCACTTGAGAGTTTCGGAACCCCGCAACGCTCCCGGAAGCTTCCCCCGCCAAACTCCTCTGAGGCTCGGCGTGACACCGCCCTGCGATATTTTGGCACCCAAAAGGAAGCTGGGAATCATGGGTTTCAACGGACGGCTCTTGTTGGGTGTTTACGGGGCTTGCTGTGATGCTTACGGGGTTTGGAAGGGGGTTTTTGAGCTTAGGGGTTTAAGGCGTTCGCTGGGATTACGGAAGTTGGGGTTTACGGTTTGGCCTGGATTTTTATAGGTCTGAAGGTCGTTCACAAAGCCACGTTTAGAACTGCTTCTTACAACCCTGCTGGTACGGGGACTTATCAAGGCTTTTGATCCCCTCACCCAAAGCCCTCAAGACTCAACAATCCGCCAGAAGCTCTCGACCGTTTTTCAATGCGTGCTGCCGCAGTAGCCCATCAAGACCTCCACCAAAGAGTGGAGACTGTCGGGTTCAGGGCGACATCCAAAAAGCCCAAATGTCTGAAATGTTGATCCCCAAGCCCAGCAACCCCGGCCCTACACCCAATGTGCCCGAACATGGAGTCCCTGGCTTTAGGCATCCCTTCACCAAAATCAAAGTCAAGCGCGTCTACTTATGCATGCATGTATGTATGCATGCATGTATGTATTAATGTATGTATTAATGTATGTATGTACGTAGGTATGTACGTATGTACATATGTATGTACGTATGTATGTACATATGTATGTACGTATGTATGTACGTATGTATGTATGTATGTATGCATGCATGCAAGTATGTATATATGATTGCATTCCTGGCCAATTATGCATCGACATGTGCTATATGTATATATGTAGATATGTATATATGTATAGTCACCCCCCATGATCCACCTCCGTCTTTCTTCGGTATGTAAAACACATAGAAACCACCGTAAATACCGATGTCTTTGCTGTTATACAAGATCAAGAGCAACGGGGAAGAGCTTTTACAAGAACTCGAACATTACTTATATCAGTGTCTACGAAGCTAGATGACTGAAGTTGCACATCCAGAACATCTCCTACGTTCTCCTACCGTAGACTGAACAAGCAGCGACACACGTCAGAGGTCGTGCGGGTCAATGGGGGGGGGGGGGAGTAGCATATATATATATATATACATACACATGTAACTGTATATGTAAGCATCTATTTCTATGTACATGCACATGTTCATGTTTATGTATATGCATCGCGTATTCATATGCATACGGATACGATTATGTGTATATATAGCTGTAGGTAGAGGTATGTGAGTATGTATATTATGTACATGTATATGTATGTGTATGTGTATGTGTATATGTATATGTATATGAATATGAATATGAATATGTATATGTACATGTATATGTCTCTGATGCACACCCTCCCCTCCCTCTTGTGATAGGTACCTGTGGTCTTGCTTGGGTTCCTGGTCTCTTGGCTTCTTTGTCTCCCCCCCTTCGCCTGTGGTGTTGGCTGTTCTCTCCAAGCTTAAGTTCTAAGAAACCTTGCTCCAGCATGCCACCAAACAGATACTGCAATCGCGGTCGACTCGTCGCATGCTGTCCATGTGGTAATTACATTGGATTTGCTGTTGGGCAGCTAGCAAGCCTACAGAAGTACGCTTACAGCTACTTGTCAGAAATGTTGAGTTCGTATGAATAACCCCCCTTCGATTGATTTCAGGCCCCGGCAGGGTTGATTGACTATTGAGGGGGGTGTCCCAGCACTACTGCGCTCGTTGACTCTCTCTGCGCCTCTGGGTGGGCTGACGAAGGGCCTCAAGTGTTCCTTCAGGAACCGGGCATGGGATTACTATTGATATTGAGTTTTCGGGATTATTTTTATTCATTGAGGGGGTTTGAGAATTGAGATTCGGGACTCGGGCGTTTTGATTGAGGGGAAATACTAAAATGAGCTCAACAGTCGTACTGTCACCTTTATTGCGACTGTTACTACACTAGAGGTTGCAATTTTGTGTTTCTTTTCTTCAGTTGCCCCTGTCAGTCTCTGGCGCACACGTGGATCATTGCATTGACACCCATCGCCTCCTGGTTCGTGGTGAGTTCTGTACTGGTTCGAACCGTGTCTGTCTGCAACCTAAAAGCAATCATGATGCGAAATTGCCCTGCATGTGAAAACAAAACTTGCGAGAGTCAAGGCAGATGTGACACTAAAATGTCCAATCATTGGTATGTATGTACATACATCCATCCATCCATCCATCCATCCATCCATCCATCTATCCATGCATCCATGCATCCATGCATGCCTGCATGCCTGCATGCCTGCATGCCTGCATGCATGCATACGAAGGTGTATGTGTGTATATATATATACATACATACATACATACATACATACATATATATATATATATATGAGCATCTATGCAGAAAGGTGTATACACGCGTAGGTGAGTAGACACGATAGACCGGTCGGCTGATCGAAGAGAGTGAACGAGAGAGCTTGCGCCATATTCCTTGGCTGCTTTGGAACTTGCGCTTGGCAGGGTATCCAACGCTGCGCGTGGGTCGCAAAACCCTGTGCACCAAACTCCGACTGCTTCGAGAATCGGCTATCCTGCTGCAGGTTGCTAGTGACCAGCGTGATGCTGGCAGTGAAATTCTTCGACGACGTTTATTACAGCAGCTGGGCCTTCAACATGACACCCCTGAACTAGGCGGTTTCGTGCCCGAAGGTTACAATCTTTCAAGAATGCACTGCTGGGTGTTCCACTTCCGGATTTCTGTGTGCCTGAAAGTGTCCAATCGGATTTTCCAGATTCCACAACCTTGTATATAATTCAGACTCACTGCCAGAAGCAGAAGCTAAGCTTGCGCCGTCAACCCCGCGTAACAAACCGAGACCTTGCCCCCGAGATCTTGAACACTCGACTCGCCAAGGCAATGCCTACTATGCCAAGGCCGGGTGAGGAGGGGTCCAAGGCAAGGAGTATCGTGATGAGGAGCAAAAGAAGTATGAGCATTGCAGCGGCTGAGTCGCAACAGTGGTACGATGACGCACACAAAATGCTGATCAGCACCTCAAGAGCAAGAGTGATAGTTGTCGTCATGCTCACAAGAAACAATACTCACAACAATGGTTGTTTCTGGCTGTTGCTGCTAGTGTTGTTTTTGGCTTGTTCTGATTGTTATGAGTATTGCGACACTCATGTTTAACGATTTGTCACTGGAGAGATGTTTGCTGCAGCCCGAGCCTTCGAAGAGGTTTCGGCTTAGGGCTTGGAGGCTTCGGACCCGATGTTTTTTTATTAAATGTTGCTCTGCTTGCGGTCCGTCATATGGAACCGCTCTGGTTTCCCTTGGCCTGAAGCTCATTCCATCTTGCCTACTTGTAGAGGCGGAAAACTTAGTATGTTCGCCCGATGCTTCTGCATCCTAAACCCTGAAGCCTGCAAAACCTTGTAGAAACCATTGAAAGAACCTTAAAGGAATCTTTGCCAGGAACCCCAAACCCTAAACCCTGATCCCTTAACCCCAAACCCTAAACCCGGAATCCCAAGCCCTAAACCCTGAACCAGAAGCCCCAAACCCTAAACCCAGAAAAGGCGCATTTAAAACAAACTACACCCGAAAAAGGGAAGGACTTCGCCAATATTGAGGTAAGATTGCGCAGTTTTGCAATCGGTGGCTTTGGTCTTCTCTTCGAAGCAAAGCTTTCCGCAGGTCGGAGGCGTGAAGACCAGAGAAGTGAACATCTTGGAGGGGCAATTTCTCCAGCTTATCGAGTGGAGGCTTCATGTGACTCCCGAGGACTGGCAGCTGGGTACGTCTCTAGGAGGGCGCGACGGGGCAGACTGTGTCTGTGTGGTTGTAGCTTGTTCTGTGTTTGCCTTACTGGGTTGTGGAGTCAGTGGAGAGTTCAGGATTTGATCCATTTGCATTCTCAAGCCGTGTCATGTTCGGTCTTCTCTGGTTTGTTCTTTTTGTTATTAATAGTTCCGTTGTTCTGCATTCTCTTCTCGTGGGTGCGACCAAAGTTGTGACAGACTCATGTGTTTGTTGCTTAAACTCGCGATTTGTCACTGCTCACTCTTCTAGGTACCTTCTGAGATGAGAACTGCATATCGGTTGCTTAAATTCACGACGCATCCTAAAAGATACGCTTCACCTCCGTAGTATGAGAAGTAAAGTTGCCCAGTGCATTTGTTGTTCTTTACTTGTTTGCTGTTGCAATGTCATGCCGTCACAGGAATTATGTCGATGCTCTGATTCTTGTTTCGCAAGGGTTGGGGTGCAGAGGTACTCGGTTGCAGTGTCATCCGTAACTCGGCAAGCTCTCAGGCGAGGGATGGTGAGGGGTGGGGGAAGTGTGAAGTCTACAAAACGGCACCTCTTAACAACAGTCTGCAACGCCTGTCGGCAGCTTGCCAAGAGAACATCAAGCATTGTGTTAAAGGCAACAAGAAGGAGGCAAGCATCCTTTTCTGACCTTGAGCGAACCTAACACTGTCGAGGAGTTTGATCAGTACAGGGCCCACGTCTGCAATGCATCAGCCGCCCGGTTCGGTTGCAGTCACGTGAAGCTGCGCTCGAGGCTTCGGATTTCGGATAGTCATTGTTCCACAATTACGCAATGGTACAGACAGAGGTCACTTCCATAACCGGATTCAAGGGTTCAGAGTTCAGGAAGCATTTTGCTCCGGGAAGAAGTGAGCATTCCTGCAGCCGAGTCCCATGAAGTGCCCAAACCCAAAATACAAGACCCTGCATCGTCTCTGTGATCCAGATCTTGCCTGAACCCCGAAGCAACAATCTCCAACGCAAAGGACGAAATCCCAAGCCGTCCAAAGATTTCAAGTCCGAGGCTTCAAGGCTCCGTATTTCCTAGACGTCTGACAGAGCTTGCAGCCCAGGGAACGCCTGCGGCATCCAGGCGCGAAGTGAATTTGCTCGAGCCCTCTCGAGAGCAAGGAAAAGCAGGGACCAAATTTCGGCTTCCTCAGAGGCAGCTGGTGGTCGTAGCCTCCCGTGAGATGGGGTTCCGGACACCGCAATATAGGACACTGGAATCGTTTATGCAGGGGAGGACCCAGCTCCCCAGAGTTTTCTGCTACCGAAGAACACGATCTCTTGGATCTTGGGACCCGGGTCTTTTTGCCGAGCTAAGACTCACCTGGGATGGTGGCAGACTGGCCCCGACGCAATGCTCAGAGAATCTGATCGCTAGAACTGGGTTTGGGGCCTTGGTGTTCTTGCAGAGGCCCCAGTCCAACCACCCAAACCCTAGGACACTTGCACGCCAGGCCGCTCGAGAATGAAATTGTGGAGGAGGAACAGGAGGATCGTGCGATGGCTGTGTGCTAAGGCACCTCTTGCCGCTTTGCTTCGGGCTCTTCGCCTTTGCGTGCTGAAAGCCCAAGCTACACTCTTCCCAAGCCGTGAGCTTCTGAAAGGTAGTGCAGTGCAGGAAGCGGGTTCAATCTTGAGCCTAGGGCACGTTTTTGGATGAATTCATGTCTGGTGTCTTTGGGAATGAAAGCTTTCGGCTTTAAAGTGCAATGCATGCGTATCCCTTGGCTATAAGTCTGGGTGGGTGGGGAGTTTGGAACAGCAAGATGCTCCAAAAGCAAGTTCCTGAACCCCAAACTAAATGCCAATTCCAGTGCATGAAGAAGTCACCAAGCAGACTGTTAAGGTTCCCTGTCGTAAGTCTAGAGCGGCTGTGCGATAAACCGCTCTGTCTTTCTCTTGGCGGCTCAGGGGACCAGCTGTGCTTGTCAGTCCCTGCTCTTGGCCACAGCCTCTTGAGGGAGGTAGGAGCATCCCTAGATCGGGACCCTCAACCGCAGGGTCCAGTCTGAGTTTTCCGGCTTCTGGTGACTTAAACCCTTTGAGGTCTGGGCCGTCAGCATACCGTTTGGCAGGCAGTGCCATTCGTAGCATTCGGGTTCAGCTGCATGTCTTTGAAAAGATGCTGTTGAGCAGCACAGCAAGTTTCACCCTTGAAGATCCGATTATGTTTTGAGCAGGAAAAGGCGTCGAATGTCGAAAGGCCTTACTTGCTAGTTCCTTAACAGCGGGCGTATTAAAACTTATGCGAAGCGAAATGACAGGTGCCACCAAACCAGATTTGTCCTTTAAGAACATCTGACCAGCTCTAAATCCCCACGATGTTGGCTACAACCGAAGGCATCAGTGGTCTGTCACACATGAATCGTTTCCGGCATGAAGGATACCGAGCACATGGTTGCGACAGGAACCTGCTTGCACCAGATGCAATCTTGTCTTGATTTGCCGTGTGAGGTGTTGCCAACAGGGTGGAAGCCGTAGACTCCGAAGCCAGAAACTTGGACTCCAACATCCCAAGCGCAACCTCAGACCCCAATGGAACCAGGTTCCCTCGCATGCCGCAGAATTCAGGCTCTGGCTCTCAGTATCATGTGCATGATTGGGTCGTGATTACCACTGCTTCCCTTCATTCCTTGCAACGGAGCTCGGGTCGGAGCGCCTGGGTTTACGTTTCCTCCGGCCCACAGCGATGGCGCAGAAGGACGTTTGGGGTGGAGACAGTTTTCGACAACTTGGGCAACCTCGATCCTTAAACCCTCCAGCCTGAAGACATCAAAACGTAAATCAAGCCGAAGGCCCCATGTCCCGAATGTCCCGAAAACTGAGAGCCCGGGAGCCCGGCGCTTGGACAAAAACAGAGAACTTCAGCCGTGTAGTTGCAGGAAGTGTTCTAGGCCCTTGATGGCGTAGGGCTACCGTTTGGTCGCAGTAGTCTCCGGGGGATCGTCTCGATGAGCTGGAAGCTAGGGGGGTTCGGGTTGAAGTCTTAGGTTGAACATATCACGATCGAGGCTCTGTGATGAATGCTGCAAGGACACAGTGGCGTGTAAATCTTGAACCTTCTGGAGGTAGATTCCACTGGAAGGCTTCCGGTTTGTCCAGGGTTGACACCGAAGCCCAGCTCCACAAAAGCTCTGCAAGGCCACATCATACTGTAAGCCTGAAGCCCAGCCTGAACTCGAACACTGGACCCGAGCTCGATTCTACAGCTTTCTCACAGGAGGGTTGGCAAGGCGATGAAGCAGCCACCTTTGTGGCAGAGCTTTGCGAACTGCTCCTCGCAGAAAATCCTTGGCTTTGCTTCTGTCAAAGGTTGTCTTGTTGTTCTCAACCATGGGCGACTCGCGCTGATTCTTTTGTGCATCGTATTCTAGTTAACTCGGACACTTTTGCACAGTGCGTTCCCTGTCGCTTTGTTTGCGAAGATTGCTGGGTTTGAGACGATCCCGCTGTGTTAAGAGGTTGTTTGGGTGTCTGCCGGGTTTGCCAGGAACATGGGCCTTCAAAGGGGGAGTATGGGATCCGCGACGAGGGCTACTTATGCGCATGGGGGAGGGGGGCGGGGGGTTTCAAATTCCTCTTGTGTCTTTGAGCTTTTTTCGCTGTGGTTTCTTGGGGCTCAAATGGTTAGATTCGATCAGGGGAGTGGCGACCGTGTTGTGTGCCCTGGCATTCCGCTCTTCTGAAGAAAGCGGGCAAGAAGTCCTGCACATTTTCCATGGTCATACGACGTCTTGTTTGTTGACACCATGTAATGTAGGGCATCAGACTGAAGAAACATGTCATCATGCTCTCGACGATAGGGCGTCATGCCGTGTTGGTGTTGCAACGTGATCAATTTCCCCACTCATGCTTTTGTGATCTTGCCATGCTGATGTATCAGAGTGCTGTACTGTGCTTTCTTGATCTTTACTTGGTGTCGTATATCCTGCCTCGAAACCCTACACCCTAGAGACCCTACAACCTACGACCCTACATTAGAACTGGCTCAGACGGCTCAAGCATTGGTTCAGGCCACAAGCGGCTTGAACGCCAAGTTTCGCTACAATCTTGCACCCGTGGCTATCCTGTCATTCTCGTCGTGGCCACATGTTGCTTTTGTAGTTATAGCTATCAGTCGCACCTGCACTGCTACATGGTTGCTGTAGTTCTCGTTCTGGTACCATCGCTATTTTTCTTGTTGGGCACGCCCGTCCAAGAACGATGTCTTGTCTTGAGCACCATCCTACGAGACAAGTCTTGGTTCCTAGCATTGAGGCCACAGTATGCCGCCACGGCCAATCGAAACTTCTCGCTATCATCCTTGCGGCAGCTGAAGCGGCAGGGATTTCTCTCCAAAGGATCGGATTGGGAGTTTTGAGTTGAGCGGTCTGGGTCTTGACGGCTAAGCAGTGGTTACAGTAGTGGCTTGGTTGGGGGGGCGGGCTGAGGGAACACATCTTAGGGCTTGGGCTTCGACGAGAATCTCACTTCATGTGTTGACCGAGTGCCAAGCACTACTCCTTTTCTGAGTTTTAGAAGCCCTTTACTGTCCTATACCTACTACTACTGCTACTCTTACTCCTACCTGTACTCCGCCTCCTCCTGCTCCTCCTCCTACTCTTACTCCTACTCCTGCTCCTGCTCCTGCTGTTACTCCTCCGTCCTGCTCCTGCTCAACCGACTCCTCTTCCTACTGCTACTGTCCTACTTGCTCTTACTCCTACACCTACTCCTACTGCTCCTCCTCCTCGTCCTCCTCCGACAGCAACTCCTGCTCCTCCTCCAACTCCCATTTTTACTCCTACTCCTACTCCTGCTTCTCCTCCTACTCCAACTCCTGCTCCTCCTCCAACTCCCACTGCCACTCCTACTCCTACTCCTACTCCTACTCTTACTCCTACTCCTACTCCTCCTGCTGCTTCTCCTGCCCGTATTCCTATTGACGATGATGAGTACAACTTGTCACACTTCTTAACGCCCGAAGATTTCAGCTTTATCCCATGTGCTCACGGGATTTTTGCTTGAAGTACAGTAAGGCGTTTGGTAGTTCGAGGAGTTGCCATCCTGAGTCACCAGCCCCTGCGCATCCGGGGTCTGTTGAGAGCAGGATTGTCGCGGGCCGGCATCTGCGATTGGCAACATCAGAAGAGGTGCTGTGCAATTAGTAAATGGTAGGACCAATAGAAAGTCACGATACCAGAGAAAAATGTCTCAGAACTGTGGGCGAACCTGTCTCAAGTACTGCCCCACTGCTTCCAAACCTGCAGCGGCTCGATTTACAGCAATCCCGAAGAAAGTCGAGGTTTGAATTACGCCGAAGGCCGTTAGCTGCCGTTAGCTTCCCACCGTGCCCCAGACGTAGACTCAGAAGCCTTGCAAAGGATCGATGCGGAGCTGGGCGACCTCGAGAAAGCACTGCCGGAAGGGATGGCTCCGCGGCTCAATGGCTCAAGCTTTCTGGCTCGTGGCTGAAGGCTTCGAGGATTAAGCCAAAAAATGGCACGGCTCCCGGACTTTCCAGAGTTGATCTGCATGAGAAACGAAGTTGTCATGTTTCAGGACGGATGTTGCAAGACCGATAAAACAGACGGTGACAAACAAAAGTAGAGGTGTTCAACTGAACAATCTGAACAATCTTGAACTCTCAGCGACAAACTCGTTCACAGCAGGCCGAATCTAGAAGGAGGAGAATAGCGAGCATGGAGATGCAAAGCCGACGTGAATGCGGCGACAACAATGGCAGCATTGATGATGATGATGATGATGATGCCAACGACGAAAGCGATGATGGTGCGGACGACGACGTCGACGAAGGAGACGAACATGATCGTGATGATGACGACAACGATGATATTGATGGTGATTGCAAATGGTCGGCTGTGATGGCGATAATGATTGTGCTAGTGCTGGTGTGCAGTTGATGATCATCGTGAGGACGGCTAGGACCTAGTTTGACAACGAAGTCGATGAGGAATGACAAACCGATCCGATCAGGAGGGCCGTGTTCTGGCGCGATCCGCCTCTGCTCCCAATGCTGTGCTCGGGGCTGACGCAGTGCTAAGGCACGGGGTGGCGAAGGGATTGAGCCGTGTCTGCCTCTGTATTTATGTCTGTGTCTTAGGCGTGCATGAGTATTCATTTTAATAAGTACAGACACCGATATATTAGCACATTTACTTGTTTGCTTAATTGCTGGCACACAGAGTTGTACCCATCCATCCATCCATTCATTCATTCATCCATCCCTCTATCCACCCGTCCAGCTGCAGGAAGAATCACGTGCGCCAGCCGGGGTCGGGGGCCGAGCCGAAATTTAAGGCCAACGAGCTGCGGAGCAAAAGGACTTACGTTTCTTTGCTTCCTCGGTTTTGAGCACGCTGGTTTAGGGTTTTTGGTTCCGAGGGTTGCAGGGTTGCACATCGCAACCGCAACAGTAGTCAAAGTTCTGACAATGACAGTGGTGAGGACAACAGAAGCTGCAGTCCTC